GGGGGGGGTGGGGGTGAAACGAAGAGTCCAATTGTTATCGAGTCCTGATTCAATCACTGAATCCTAAAAATCCAAATTTTCAAATAAAGTTTTTCAGTATGATATTAACGTTTTGAACTTCGATTTTTTCGTGAATTAATTGTTTTTTTTTTCAATTAGTTGATTAGAATGGAGCGACTAGGCGCACGAAGCGCCCTATGCCTCCTAAATCTATCAAGATCTATTGTAGCGGCCGCTTTATCAAGACTTTGAATGGTTAGGTTATCACCATTCTCCCCGAGCGGGAATCGAACCCGAAACCTCTCGTCGGGGGATTCCCGAGACAAGTTATTGACGGAAAAATTTTACAAGGTTTTTTTTTTACAGCTGGAAAACTTCTTCATAGAAAGACTCATTCTGGAAAGATAATTGGGAACTTGCACGAATTTTTTTCAATTTTCTAATATCAAGTTTGGGATCTGAATAATTCGATATTCATTCACAAACGTTTGAAATATTGCTCGTTAATTGATAATTAATTATGAAAAGTTGAAGATTTCAAACGCTTTGAAATCGCTAATGAGGTCACACAGACGGTCGGGCGCTCGACCAATGCGAGAATGGCTCGAGCCGGCCTAACCCAATCTTGAGGTGCGCCTCGGCTAACGGAGGCCAACTCCCCACTCTCTTCTTTTTCGACCAATGAAGCGTTACCTGACGGTCTTCGTGACGTCATGACCGAAAAATTGACTTCGAAAACGACTGATTTTCAATTAATTATCATAAGACATCTAGGCAATATTTCGCCATAATTTTCGCCGTTTAGCTATCCATACGAGGGTCTACTCACTCCCTAATTCACGGCGCCTCTGGCATAAAATCATTGGGAAATCACACCGAAATCTCGTGAAATCGCCAAAATCACTGCAATCAAGTAATTTTAGCTCTCCGAAATCATTTTCGAAATCATCTCCAAAATCACCTGAAATCGTCTGAAATCAATGAAATCACCGAACTCAGTGATGCACTGGCGTAGGATAAACCGTGCAAGTAATTCGTGATTTTGAAATTGACCCGCCTGCCAACGATGATTAAAAAATGTCGTACTCACTGGCATAGTAGGATGGCAAATGAACCGATTTTCATGGTCATTCGCTCAAGATTGGCGGAGTGGAATTATACAATACAACGAATTCGTAATTATTTACCAGTTATTATTGCCAGTTTTTATTTTCATAATTTGACGTAATCCGTTTTGCCCCACCTCTATTATTTATTAACTTTATTTTTCTGAAATCACTGATTTCGAATTAATGAAATCATGAAATCACCTCCGTGACGGTGGAAACCCCGAAATCATTTTTTCCGAAATCGCTGAAATCACCCAAAATTGACTTCATTTCGAAATCATGGTGTCACTCAATTATGAAGTGAGAAGCCCCTCGTATCCACATGTTGCGAGGAATGTCTGAATAGGAGAATTAGAAAGAATTGAGTTTCATGCAAGTTTCTAATCCCACAATTAATTCCGAACGTGTTCCCAAGTTTCGCGTGGGCTAATATCAATAGCATTCAATAGTTTTTCGTGGATGAAAAACTACGTAACGTCATCGATTTGGAATCATTCAATTTTGGAAAGAATCATACATTTTTGCATGGATCCGTACAAAATGGGCAGCATATGTAGGGTGTTAAGGTACTTGCTCAGTATAACTTTGAGGTATAGAGTGGTGGTAAACATCAAAGGTGTCGACACGCCCCTGTATCGTTGGAGAAAAAAATGAAAATTTTAAAGATTCAAGAGTGAATTGAAATTTTGCTGATCGGATTCTTTTTTATTTATGACTTAAAATTATTCAACCGACAATTTTTTTATTCTCAAATTTTTTTAAATGATTCTATTAATTAGTTCAAACTATCGTCAGAGAACAGGCAACAAGGCAGTTTCGTTAGACGAAGTTGATGTTACTGTTCTTTGATATGAACCTAGACTACAATAGACTACCATGATTTGGTTCTATTTACGATAGAGTCTACAGTCGAGCTAACCCCGTACATTCTAACCTTCTCTCACCGTTGTCATGTTACACCGCCATTTTTCCCTAGTTTAACGAAAATTCATGATGCTGTGATACATTTTCAATAATTTTTCAAAATCTGTAAGTAATAAATTATGTAAATCTGCAGTAATAAATTATGAAATTGCAAAGATATATTCTTGGAATGTGTTTGTTGGTGGAAATTGGATATTTGCATTGTTTGTACATTGTCGATGCTCAAATTGAGCGGTTGAAAAGTGACTCTCATAAGACGCTGTACGAATGATATTTTAAATCATTTCTTTGACAAAAAACTGAACAGTCAATTGTATTCGGACTCCTTACGACATATTTCCGGCTATTTCAAGAATTTTTCTTCAAAATTTCACATTTTTTGTACATTGTCGGCTGTTCCCATATAACTGACTCAGGAAGTACCTTAATAGAATGATAATAATAAGTTCAGTAATGAAATTTCACTGATTTCATCCAAAATTTATAATTCATCAATTGATTAACTAATTCATTCATAAATTAATAAATTTATTCATTTCAGATCGTAAGTGATGCAGAGACCCTTTCAGCTCGTATGAACCACAGAGGTGCATGCGCCTGTGACAATGATACTGGAGATGGTGCTGGTGTTCTCTGTGCAATTCCCCATGACTACTACGCAGAAGAAATATGGTTTGTTACTTTATTCACATCAATATAACATATTAAAATATTATTGTGACCCTTCTGTACGTCACAGAGGAACTTGTGTAAGTGTCTTCGCCTGTACTGAGCCGGGAGTCACTGATAAGCCCAGTCTGTTATAATTACCGAGGGGGGAAAATAAAACGTGAATTCCTGGGGGGTCCAATAACATGTATGTTATCTCGTCTTGTTGATTGTTTTGTTACAAAATAACTGAGAAAAGATGAGTTTCTGAGAGTTCAGATTATGTACAATTTTATTTTTTTCTCTTTTGCAGTGAAAAACAGGGAATTCAACTACCCGAGTTTGGAAAATATGCAACGGGTATTTTATTCCTCGATAAGAGAACTCATAAACAGACCGAGGCTGCTTTCGAGGAGCTAGCAGCAGAATGCAACTTGAAGGTAATTTTGCTGTGGTTTAATACTGAATCATTTTAGATTTGATAAAAATAAAAAGGGTTCACGTAACATGAAAACTAGTCGCCGAAATTTCAGGTGTTTATTGCATTCTTTACTCATATTATGGAATGTCAAAGTGACTTACGAGTAAAAACATGGGACTGTTACTCTATGCGTTAGTAGTTTTTATCTTTTCTTCACTTCTACCAATGACATTAGTACTGAGCTTTCAAATTGTTACGTCATGATTTCCCAGGAAAAATATTCAATTATAATTTTAATAATCCAATAAATTCTGGAAAATTATGACAGTTATTTCTCCTATTTTGAGCCTACCTTTCGGTAATAGCTCGGGATTGGAGTCGGGTGAATTGTTAGAATAATAGAGGATAAAAATTCACAATAAATGAAGTCAATATTTATTTAAATTATATTCAAATTTTAACGAAATCAAATTCTTTGAAGTAAACAATTTACAAATGGATTAATTTTCACCAATTTTGAATCTAAATTGTCATCCAATATAAAATTTTTGCCTCGAATCAACGCGAAAATTTACATCAAGAACTGAAACTTTTTTTTTCTATTGAGTTCCCCGAACTAAAATTCTCAAATATTCAATAATTATTGATTTTTTTTCTTGAATTTTTGAAACCGTTAAACTTTTCACCATGTCATTTCCCGATTTAAATCAAATTTATTATTTATTTTGTTTTACTCATCCATTTTGTTGTAGTTTCTTGAAGTAATCCAATATTCGGTTGGTTAGATTTCACAATAATTTCACGTAAAAAAAATTTACAATTTTTCGGAACGGAAGTTCACACCTTAATTAGTTTCTCTTGAAGAGAGAAGTAAGAAGAAAGACCAAATTCTTCAACTTTTGAATGGTTTAGACGACGCGAGAAATGACCTGGAACGAAGAACGGCGGGAACGAACTTTGGGGGTGCATCGACGCTCTTTTATTACCTCGGATTGCGAGGATGTACTAATTAATGTATGTGTATGAATTTTGATGTGTTTGTCAAAGGAGGGGGCATGACATGATGTCGATGCACCAAGGTACACCTCGGCACGGATACCTGAACCTCCTGGTGATAACGCTCTTGGAGAAAATTCAAAGTGTTGCCACCCAACGATCACATGATCGTTACATGAACTTATTCTTTTTTTTTATACCTTTTTTTCTTCATTAAATTTCTTCTTATATTTTCACGAATAATATCGATTAAAAGTGAGACTTGCTTTCAATTACCTCCAATGCGAAATGCTTTTTGAAACCACGTATTATTCATCGTTTTCTAATTCCATTATTTTTCAATCATTATCAATTTTTCTTTCATTTCAATAAAAATGCGATACGTCTCCAGACGTAACAAAATGGAACCCAAGTCACTCTAATGTTGTTGAGAAAATTACATACCACGACATCACGAAAATTACATTCCATGAAAAAAATGAAAAACACCAACTACTGTCCAATTTTTCCTTGGCCCACTCGTTTCTTTGCAGGGAAGCCGGAGGGAAATATCCTATGAATTTTGAAGGCTCAGGGGTATTCGGAGGATTATTTTTGGTAATCGGATCTGGCCTTCCCTGACCTCCGTAAATTTAGTGAAATCGAGTGATTTGGCAGCCATTTTGGAAACACTTAAATTATGTGCTATTTATGTGCTTTTTTTTTGGTATCCAGAAATTTTTTGCTATGCTGGAATAGTGGAAAATGAGGGGGGAAAAGCGTCGAAACCAATTAAACGCCATAACGGGAATTTTGGATGGGCGGAGTAGTCGAAAAATGCATGGAAAATTATGTGCTCATCAATATTCGTAAGCACAAATGATTTTTATTGCCAATAGCAACGTGTTCAATTATTTGTTATCAATGAATCTTCTTCTTCTCCTACCCGGGTAGAAATTCAACCGGGGATTCAGCCGCAACTCGGGTGAGCGCGAGCTCAGCCTCGGCTTGCCGCTTGACCCGAATTCACGCCGTGACACGCCGCTCCATACCGGCTCACAGTCAAACGCTCATCAGACGGCATAACCCGGCAATTGAGTTTGAGCTGTGGCTCAACGCTTAGAACTCAGCTCCGATTGAGTCGTGTCATTTCGAGTGGAGGGTGAAATAGAATGATATTATGCATTTTTAGAATATCGATTTAAAATTTGAATACTTTGGAAAATCCTTGTCTTCTTACACTATAAAAAAAATGGAATTCCACTGAACTTTCTATAAAATTTGAAATTTACTGATTTTTCCCTCTGTCATCGAATATACTATGACTCGCTTCAAAATAACAACCCATAAAATTTGGCTTTCTTCCTCACAGTGCGGAGATATATGGAAATGATATAGGGAAATGATATGAGATAGGGAAATAGACTTGAATTTTTTCGATTTTTTTTTGATTGTTCCAATTAATAAAGAATAATTCTCAATCATTACTACTTTAGATCGTTTATTTTATTTTATTGAATGAAGAACAA